GGTGCGAGCATGCCGGGCGATTTACAACGAGGGTAGCGATCGCCCAGATGAACGCCTCTTGCCTGTGCTCCAAAGTATTCGTTCAGAGTGTATTCGCTGTCTCAATTTGGTCTTCTCAATTGTCCCGAATCATGATTGGACTCCCTACGTCCGTATCATCTTCAAGGAGATGATTGACAGCAGACTGGATCAATTCCCTATTGAGACAGCACAAGGTGTTTCGGGCCTTCTACGATTGTTCTCCACTTGGGCCGCTGTTCCAAGGTCAACGTTCTACTTGGTGCAGCACAATGACAAGGTCTTGACTAAGGTGATTGACTGTCTCGCGGTCGAATCTGCCCGCGATGAAGTCAAGGTCTTTATCTTGGATGAGATTCTCGTTCCGTTAGTTGCGCAGTCTACGGACAAAAAGTTACAGGAAACCGAAGAGATGCCTGACTTCCCAGCTGAGCAAATCAAATCCGAAGTCCTCTCTCCCTACCTGGAGCACGCTCTCTTCCACCTCGGTCGTCTTCTCAAGAGAGGCCCCTCGAAGCCCGTTCTTTATTCCGGAGTCAATACTCTTTCCTTGATCGCTCCCTGCGTCGAATCTTCCAAAGAGACCGCTAGTCTTGTCGGAATTACGACATATCTGCTTCGTCAGCCCGCGGATCGTGTTAGCCCCAGAACCAAGTCTGGTTTGTTGAAGATTCTCGAACACTTTTTGCCCTTATGGGACCCCAAGGAAGATGCCGAGCTCGCGCAACAAGTATTTGATGCGGTGTGCTCGATGTTCGACTACTTCAAGGATGACGCGAACAGAGAAGTATTGGCCCGAGTTTTTGGTGCTCTTGCTACGCACGACGAGAACCTCAAGATTGTTGCCGACTTGTGTGCAGATCTAAACTCTCGCTCAACTAAAAGACTCGAACCCGATTATGCCAGACGTCTGCAGGCTTTCAGAACAGTCAGCGACGAACTGTCTCAAACTCTGAGCGCGAAGCAGTGGAAGCCTCTTCTCTACAACATGCTTTTCCATCTGAGGGATGAAGATGAGCTTTCTATCCGATCTAGCGCCTCCTTCGGTCTGAGACGATTCATCGACAGAGCGTCCACAGAACCAGACGCAGACTTTGAGGCACTCATCAATGATGTTCTGTTCCCCTCTTTGCAATACGGCATCCGACAGAAGTCTGAACTTATTCGCTCTGAAGTTGTCGCAGTCATTGGCTACTTCGTCAAACTCAACCCCACCAGACCTGCTGTGCAGGACATGCACGTTCTTCTTGTCGGCGATGATGAAGAGGCCTCTTTCTTCACCAACATTCTCCACATCCAACAGCACCGCCGGCAACGTGCATTGCGACGTCTGGCTGCAGACGCAGCTCAAGGTAGCATTCAGGCTACGAATCTGGGCACCATCTTCATTCCCCTCATTGAGCATTTCATCTTCGAGGATGCTGCTGATGAAAACGCCCACAACCTGATTGCCGAAGGTGTTGCGACCCTTGGCGTTCTCTCTGAATGGTTGGAATGGGGTCAGTTCCGAGCAAACTTTCGGAGATACCGCAGCTACATGGCAAGCAAGCCTGAAAAGGAGAAGAACATCCTCAGACTGCTAGGCCGCATGTCCGATGCGCTGTCTAGTGCAATGAACCGAAAGAGAGGGACAGAAATCCAGATCGATGGTGAAATTGATAAGATGGATGTTGTCGAGCTGCCCATGTGCACCCTCGCCAAGACTGTTCCTTCTCTTGCGAAGGTGTCAACAGAGCTTACCACAAACTTCATTCCTTTCCTGACCAAGTACATTCACCACAAGCAGGAGAAGGAAATGAGTATGCGCCTGCCGGCTTCGATTACCACTGTCAAGCTTCTCAAGATTCTCCCCGAAGAAGAACTGGCTATTCGTCTCCCGCCAGTCCTGCTAGATGTCTGCGCAACCCTCAAGAGTAAAGCACAGGATTCTCGTGATACTGCACGGAAAACACTCAATGAGCTCGCTCTCCTTTTGGGTCCTGTTTATTTCGGCTACATCCTCAAGGAACTCCGTAATGTGCTCGCTCGAGGTTATCAGCTTCACGTTCTCTCATTCACCGTTCACTCTATGCTTGTGACCACCACCGATCACTTCAAGCAAGGAGATTTGGATTACTGTTTGAAAGAACTGGTTGCGGTTGTGATGGATGATACCTTTGGCACAGTCGGCCAAGAAAAGGATGCCGAAGGATACACCAGTAAAATGCAGGAGGTCAAGAGCAGCAAGAGCTACGACTCTATGGAGCTTCTGGCTAAGATCTCAACTATCAACCACTTGTCAAACCTGATTAGGCCTCTCCAGGCACTCCTACGCGAAAAGCTCAATTCGAAGCTCGTCAACAAGCTTGATGAGCTCATGCGAAGGATTGGCATCGGTCTTCTGAGAAACCCTGACGCCGAAAGTCGCGATATGTTAGTCTTCTGTTACGAGGTCATCAAAGAGGCTTATCGGGACAATGCTCCAGATGCGGGCCCAGCTGTGCCCAAGACCAGATACGAGGAGCGGTTCTTGATCCGATTGCAAGGAGCTAAGCGGGGCGAGCACAGGGGTACGACATCTTCACATGTTTACAAGCTGACCCGGTTCTCGCTGGATGTGCTTCGTGCTATCCTCAACAAGTTCAATTCGTTGTTGACAGCTTCTAACTTGTCGGGCTTCATTCCCATCATTGGTGATGCGCTTGTTCAGTCTCAAGAGGAAGTGAAGGTTTCTGCTCTCCGTTTACTATCCACGATCATCAAGCTTCCGCTACCGGAGATTGACGAGAACTCACACGTCTATTTCACCGAAGCAGTCAAGCTTGTTAAGGAGTCTCCTAGCACAAACTCCGAAGCGGCACAAGCGTCCCTGAAATTGATTTCTTCCATGCTGCGTGAACGAAAGGACACCAAGCTTCGTGACGGACATCTCGCATACTTGCTCAAGCGTCTGGCTTCCGACATTGAGGAGCCAGATCGCCAAGGTGTGACTTTCAACTTCATCCGCGCAGTCATGTCCCGGAAACTCGTCGTTCCGGAGATGTATGAGCTTATGGACAACATCGCGACCATGATGGTGACAAACCAAACTCGGTCTGCGCGGGATCTTGCTCGCGGAACCTATGTTCATTTTCTGATTGAGTACCCGCAGGCAAAGAGTCGATGGACCAAACAGCTCGCTTTCTTCGCAAAGAACCTGGATTACAAGCATCAGTCCGGGCGGCAGTCAGTCATGGAGGCGATGCACGCGCTTCTTTCAAAGACCGGCCCAGAATTGGCACAAGATATTATTAGCACCTTCTTCCTGCCTATCGTTCTTGCTATGGCGAATGACGACTCGCCGGAATGCCGCGAGTTGGCTGGTACATTGCTAGGAGAGTTCTTCAATCGTGCGGATCGGGAGCAGATGAAGACTATCCTTACTCCCCTTCGGTCGTGGTTGGAGCAGACTGACAACATGGCTTTATGCAGTATTGGATTGCAGGCCATGCGCATCTACTTCGAGGCCGAGCAGACCGAGAAAGATAAACAGGCTCGATTTGTCATCGGAATCCTCCCTGGCTTGATGCAGCCCGTTCTAGATGATCATGAGAATGGCAATTGGGAAGCTCTTTACTATGCCTTGCAACTTTTCACAAAGCTTTGCAAGACGGCTTCCACACTTGCTCTGAGCCCGCAATGCGCTTCTATCTGGACGTCTGTCCAAGAGTGCCTGTTCTTCCCACACGCATGGGTCAAGACCTGTGCTGCGAACCTTGTAGGCTTGTGGATGGCTGATCTAGCCAAGACAAATGCCGCTGCGGGTTACGCTTCCCTTCCCTTGACTGGAAGTTCCGGTCTCGCCATAGACAAGCCAGCTATGCTGCAGCTTCTTCGCGCCAGTCTTCGCAGTCTGCGTACCCCGGGCATTGCCGAGGAACTTGCTATGCAGAGTGTACGCAACACTGTCTTCCTTGGACGTTGCTGTTCTCAAAACGGACTCGAGCTTCCAAAGCTGGCAGGTGAGGATGTTGAATCCGAAGATGAGGACGAGGATGAGGATGCTGGCAGTGAAGCTGAAGGAGAGGCAAAGGAGGAAGCCAAGGTGGAATACAACAGATCTGCCATCCACTACATTTTCAAGCAGATTTCCTCCCTTTTGCGACGGGAAACTATCTCCGGTCGAGCAGAAGCCCTCATTCCCAAGACAGCCTCCATCACACTTCTTGCCGCACTTATCCGCCACATCGAGGTTGAGCAGATCCGGCCTTCTCTGCGCGTTATTCTCATTCCCCTGCAGCATCTGACGGATCCATCGATCCCGGCGCCACGCTCCTCGGACGAGACCTTCCAGAACACGTACAAATCCCTCGTCTCCAACTGTCACGAGGTCTTAGATCTTCTCCAGAAGAAACTCGGCACCACCGAGTACGTGGAGCATATATCTAGAGTCCAGGCGGCTATCAAGGAACGCCGTGAAGGACGACGGGCTAAGCGTCGCATCGACGCTGTTGCTGACCCTGAGAAGCACGGACGTGATAAGATGAAGAAGAACGAGCGGAAGAGAGACAAGCGCCGTGAGAAGGGCTTGGAGCACCGTGGAAAGAGACGCGGTTGGTAGAGGATTTGACATCTATTTGCATGTGTCATGAAATGGTGTTATTGGCATACAAAAAACTGGGCGTTTTGGTGGAATGGATTACTACATTTATACTTGCATTGTATATACCTTCTCAGAACAATTTGATTTCTTCTGTACACAATCTTATGTTTTCTCAATATGTCGTCTTTGAAGATAGGGTTGTCCTTGAAAATTAAGAGTTGACTGAGAATTCAGTCAAAGTGATTTTTAATGTACAAAGCCCCCAATATATATCCTTCTTCTCGTCGATGCTTGGATCCTGCCATGCTGGGAGTAGAGAGTCTTTCATCGCCATAATATACACATCCAACAAGACAAACAAAACACCTAATATGCACCGACTCCACCAATAATCTATGCAGGAACCTCACTTCGAATGAAGTCAAGCCGACTTACCCTCATCGCTTGCTCCCAGTATCTCCTTGCCCTCCAAGTCATAGCTCTTCACAGACCCATCCTCCCAGAATTCCAGGTTGCCCTCCGTGTGGCCGTGGGTCAATGTCTGACCTTTCTCTTTCAAAAGGTCTTCCAGAGTTGTCTTCTTGTCAAAGAAGACACCAAGGTGATCACTCATGACATGGCGCGAGTCACACTCAGGACATTGGATAAGCACAGTCCCACGATGGTAGCCTTGCTTGGACATGCGGTGGGAAGAGCGATGACCGCACGGCTTACACGTGAATGTAATGCGATAGGCTTCCTCATCCTTGCGACGCTCCTGGTTCCGCGCTTCCCATTCAGCCTCCTGCTCCGCCTGACTCTTGGGTGTCTTGGGTGATTCGGTGAGAGGGTGAGGAGCGCGGGAGTTGTATCGGATTTGGGTTTGGAGGAAGATACGCTGCGAGCGGGGGAGAAGAGATGATGGGCGAGCTGAGTTTAGAGAGAAAGATTGTGTTGAGAGGAAGCGTGAAGATTGTATGCGCGCAACAGTAGTGTATGACTGTGCTTGCGACAGAAGGGCATTCAATGGGCGGAGACCCGGGGTGAAAGGGCGCATGGTGATAAGTGTTTGAAAGCTGACAGAGAAATAAGTCCAAAGATAGTAGAGATATTTGCAAGTCAGAGAGAAAGTATTCAGGCAAGCTTCAGACAAAACTTGAGAGAAAAAGAAAAAGCACAGGTGAAATGACGATGCTCGGTCAGTGACAGCCGGAACTTTAGAATTTCCGGGGTTGGCCTCCGCGGAGAGAAGAGCGCATTCTTTCTTCACCTTTTTTTTTTTTGTTAAGTTCTCTATTCACTCACTTTCTCTTGGACTTACTGCATTGCCTTCAAGATGGCAGCAATGAGGGCTCGTCACAAGATTCGAGCTCCTCGCAGAGTTCGTTGACCATGCGGGGTTAAACTTATGAGGCTATTCACTAACTATACTTCTAGGGAGTCTCCCATGCCAATACCGAAGATTTCGATTCTATCTGGACAGTCCTCTCGTCATCCTTGACTGAAATTAATACTAAAAATGCCTCAACCCTGGCATTTGAAGAGCTCTACCGCCATGCCTACAAGATCGTGTTGATGATGCGGGCTTCCGATCTTTACGAACAAGTCAAACAACTAGAGCAGGACTGGTTGAAAACCAATGTCAGAACCCACATTATTGATTCAATCTCTTCGACCCTCGTGCGGGCGCAAAAATCCACCGATGCGCAGGACCAGTCAAGTGAGAGGAGGGAGGCGGGGGAGAAGTTTCTCACCGTCCTGAAGGATGCCTGGGAAGATCATCAATTGGGCATGGGCATGGTTACCGATGTTCTGATGTATATGGTGGGGTTTTCACGCTCTACGGTATTGATACAATGCGCTAACTTTTTGCGCAGGACCGTATGGTGGCAAGCCGTACTCACCCATCCATCTACGTTGCCTGCTTGGCTCTATTCCGAGACCATATCCTACGAGCTCCCGTCCGTGCCGGCTCTGATTTGACTGTCATGGATGTACTCGAATCCACCATACTATTCATGATCCAACTGGAACGTTCTGGGCACATTATTGAACGGCCGCTCATTCGGCATTGCATCCAAATGTTGGAGGGCCTCTACGAAACTGTTACAGAGGAGGAGAGCTCAAAACTTTATCTGACTGAGTTTGAACCAGCCTTTCTCGAAACAAGTAAGGAGTTCTACCGGACAGAAGGGCAACGGCTCTTGGAAATGGGAGATGCTACCATGTTTTGCCGATTCGCAACCCAGCGAATCACTGAAGAGGAGGAGCGATGCCGTTATATGTTGGCGGTCACGACAGAGCCGAAGGTCCTTGAGTTGCTTGACGAGGAGCTCATCCGGAACAATATTGACGAGGTCGTCAATTTCGAGGGGACCGGCGTCCGGCAAATGCTGGATCACGATCAGTTGGAGGGGTTACGGAATATTTACACGCTTAATAAAAGAGTCGACAAGAAGAAGCAAGCTTTGACAAACATGGTCAGCAAGCGAATTGTGGAAATGGGCAAAGAAATCAATGCTTCGTCTATACTCTTACCACAAGCCCCAGCCCCATCAGCAGAGAAAGATGGTGAAAAAGAGAAAAAGCCGGCGAAGGGAAAAGACAAAGAAAAGCCTCAGAGTCAGCAAACAGTGTCAGCAATCCGCTGGGTCGATGACATTCTCATCCTCAAGCGGAAATTCGATGACATTTGGGAGAATGCCTTCGCCTCGGACCAGGGCATGCAAGGCTCAATTGGGGCGAGCTTCGCCAACTTCATCAACCAAAACTCGCGAAATTCCGAGTACCTATCTCTCTTCTTCGATGAAAACCTGAAGAAGGGCATTAAGGGAAAGACAGAAAGCGAGGTAGACGTTCTCCTAGACAGCGGAATTACACTGTTGCGGTACATCAAGGACAAGGATCTATTTGAAACTTATTATAAGAAACATCTATCACGCCGTCTTCTGATGAAACGCTCTGTCAGCATGGATGCAGAGAGACAGATGATTTCGAAGATGAAGTTAGAGGTCGGTAACCAGTTTACTCAACGCATTGAGTCCATGTTCAAGGATATGACCATCTCGGAAGACCTTACCACCAATTACAAGGAGCACATTGCGCGCAGTGGTGATCCTGACCAGAAACCCGTGGACCTGGAGATCAACGTCCTCACCAGTACGATGTGGCCAATGGAAATCATGGGAGCCAAAGAGGGAACGGTCCAATTGCCTTGCATTTTCCCACGGGAGATTGATACACTGAAGCAAAGCTTTGAGAGATTTTATCTCGACAAGCACAGTGGCCGCAAACTGTCGTGGCAGGCTAGCATGGGCACTGGCGATCTTCGAACCACCTTTGTACGCACCAATGGAAAGGTCCAGCGCTATGAACTCAACGTGTCAACATACGCCATGATCATCTTGTTATTATTCAACGACATCCCAGACGGCGAAGGCCTCACCTATGACGAGATCAAAACTCGCACCCTGATACAAGACCACGACTTGATCCGCAACTTGCAATCGCTTGCGGTTGCCCCAAAGACTCGAGTGTTGAAGAAGGAGCCTATGAGCAAGGATGTGAGGCCCACTGACCGCTTCTTTTTCAACAATGATTTCCACAGCCCCTTTGTGAAAGTGCGTATCGGAGTTGTCAGCGGCGGTGCCAACAAAGTCGAGAACCAAGATCAGCGCAAGATCACTGAAAAGAAAATGAATGACGAGCGCAACGGTACCATCGAAGCTGCTATCGTCCGCATTATGAAGTATGACTCCCACATAATCCTCGTATATGATCTGACGAACTAATATCTGGCAGACAACGCAAAACGCTTACTCATGCTCAACTAATGAACGAGACTCTTTCGCAACTTTCCGCCCGCTTTGTCCCAGACGTGAACATGATCAAGCGTCGCATTGAGAGTCTGATTGACCGCGAATACCTGGAGCGAATCTCTGAAGATCCGCCCACCTACGGGTATGTCGCATAATGTCATACGATCTCGGTGATGGCATCTGCCTTCTATCTGGTCTACTTCTTTTCTGGTTTGTTATGATTTTATGATCTGGGGTGTCCTCGCATCTCGGTATATGTGTCTGCTTTCGGAGTGCTTGCGTTTCTCTGAGCTTAGCGATTGGCGTCTTTTAGGGGATTGAAAGAAATGAAATAGCTATAGAAAACCATCCGATTTAGTATTTGATATTTACTAGCACGGCCAATGGAAACCGCCTTGGTAGGACATACATACATCGTTGAATCAAGTCCCGCAAAAGTAGGGAAAATATATCATAAAATAACCCAAATAACGCCACTCCGCTATGATGAAGTTGAATATCAAACCAGTCTAGAAGACTCCAGGACTCACAATAATTCCACCTCCCCTCTTCCCCAAGCCGCCTTAACTCCTTCCCATCTCACAACCCAAACATCCCCCATTCGCATCGTAACCCCCGTATCATATTCCTCGTCCTCCCCTCCAACAACAACAGGAACTTCCACCCCAAGACACCGAACAAAAACAACCTCTTTCAACTCTGGCCCCTGGATCATACTCGTCCCACCGGCATTATCATCCAACCGCCTCAGCTGCCGCGGGAACGCGCCCATGAACGACCCCGCATAGTGGCCCGCCAGGAGCGTCTGGTGCGCATGCAGGAACGACGATTCCGGCTCCGACAGCGGCGCAAGATCCGTCAGCTCTGATATGTCCGGCACGGAGTCCTCGGGCTGCTGGTTCGGGTTCTGTGAGGAGGCGGTTGATTGTGTTTGCGATGCGAGGGGGTTTTTGTTGCGCGAGGCGAGCAGGACTAGATAGTGCATGCTGTATTTTGTTATTTTGGCCAGTCTGGCTCGCAGAAGACTGCGTACTATGTATTGACTGCGGGCGAGGTCGGTTTGGAGGATTGAGAGGCGGAGGTTGAGATTGGGGTTGTGCGTGTTTCCGGTTGTTGGGGTTGTTTCTGAGGATGCGGCTAGGTCTTCGATTGTTTCGATCTGTAGGTATTTGGTTTCATTAGTGATTTGGATTTAGGGAGTGCTGTGAAGGTGCTGTGTACCTGTATCCGCACGCGATCCATTATGCGCTCCATCAGTGGCGCCGGCCACGGTAGTACCTCCGACACGGCGCGTTCAGCTACCCAGAAGCGCGTGAGGAGCTGGTGATCTAGCGCTGCGGATTCCAGGCTGGCGCCTGGACCGCGATCCACTGACGCGAGAATGTCGTCGATATCCATGGGCTCAGAGGTTGTCGCATTGAGAAAACGCAGAGCGGAGCCCGATATAGGGCGGAGGGCGGAGATGGGGTGCCTGGGGCACTAATCAGCCCGCTATATCAAATATATCAATCTGAATATATTGCGAGACCGGTTTACAATTGAAAATTGAGTTGTTAAATTAGCGAGTTCAACTGGTCCAATCTCAAACCATGTATCAATTGGACCTTCTGTTCTTCTGCTCCGAAACCGCGTGATCGAATCACACGATGTCCCAGTGAATCAATAAAAAGAGCCGGTAGCTTTGAAAGAGCAATTCTAATTCAGTTCAGTTCAAGTTTGACCGTCCAAGATATATTAAAGAGAAACGATGTACGAGAGAACATAGAACTATAACCCTCAAGTCCCGCTGTTTCAGGGATCTCAGGCTGCAAACCAAATACTTAAATTCAGCTGAACTTGGGTTAAATGTGACATGGAAGACATGAAGCATTAAGTAGTAAAGGAAAAACATCCACCCATGTGGGTATGCGACCAAATCCAAAAAAAGACCACATTTCGCAGTTAAAAACGCCGTAAACCATTAACTTCCGGCAAATTCATCGAGAGGCATGCAATATCGGAAGACCTTCAAAGCCATGCGTATTAAGCTTTAAAATGATGTAGAGTTTAGTCCTTATTGCCGTTGGGCGGCGGACCAGGAGGCGGCGCATATCCGTGGGGACTGTTGGCAGTGTACGCATTCGGAGGCTGCTGCAACTCGATGCCTTGCTGTTGTGGTGGTGCGTTTTGCGCACCAAAGTAGCCGTAGTTCTGAGGGTTCGGGGTGTATTGAGGGGGCGCATTTTGCTGGTAGTAGGGGTCGCCATATGGGGGTTGCTGGTAGATGGGTTGATTTGGCGGAGGAGGGCCCGGAGGAGGAGCCATCCATCCCGTTCCTGTGAGAGGGCGTTGGCCATGATTTCGGCGACGGCGTGCGTTGAAGCATCTGTGACAAGCTTGTTAAAATCGCGAGACATCGCATAGAAGAGAATTAGGTAAGACTCACGCGAAACCGAAGAAGATTAGGAAGGCTACACCGACGATCACGGCGAACGCTACCCAGCGACCCCAAGAGTCCCAGGTGGAATAGCAGTCATTATCCCCAAAGTAACCAGAGCTGTAACGGATCAGTGATATGTCTCTTGACGGGAGTCATCATAGCACCTACCAGTATCGAGGATATAGGGCTGGCATGACGGGCTAATTATTTGCGACCACAGAAGTAATAAAGTGAAGAATCTGAAGCCGAAAGAGAAGAATGTAAGAATCCCAAAGGATGTGAGATGTTCGACGTCAACGGGGGCTGGTGAGAGCGGTGGGTCCTTGGCAGTTTAGGCTGCAGTCTGGGGGGTTGGGGAAGGTACAGTGACTTGGCTGGCCGCCCTATTGTGTATGGGGCAGATTGGTACCGGTACTTGGTACTTTTTTTATATTTGTAAAAGAAAGGAAATCACTAGAAAGAGGAAGAGGAATGTATTCGAAGTTTTATAAAGAAAAAAGGAAGAGAAAGAGAAAGAAAAGTGAAAGAATCTCCATTGTGGCGCAGTCGGGCAGGGCTGAGACTATACGAATCCGGAGTACGTGGTATATATACGAAAGACGAATAGTTAGTTACATATTATATTATTAATACACATGGCTATGCATATTCACTTTAATTCTCTATAATTATATATCTCTATAAGTCCAATGTACTACACTTTCATATATACTCAACCTTGAGCACAGTCAATCAATCTAGATCGATGCTCCAGTGCAATCTATATAATAATGTCAACAACCATGAATATCGAAAACCCTCTTATCAACTAACCGGTGGAATGGATGACGGTACAACCGGCAACGCAGTAATACTCGACCCGAATTCACTTTTCAAATCCAAACTCGCCTCTCGCTCAGTCACCCCATTAGCGTTGTCATGGGTCATCTGCACCGATAGAACATGGATCCGGGGCGACATGTCAGGTTTTGTTTTGAATGAGTATGTAGGTAATACGTCGAATTTCCCCTGTATCCAAGACATCTGTCTGTCCAGGTCCGGGTTTGTGTCGTTGCCCTTATTTTCTAGGGTGGAAGACTTGGCTTGGAAGACGCTGCTAGGCCAGTCTTTTGTCTTGGTAATCGGGAGTGTACAGCATGTGTTCTTGGATACGTTATCCCATGCTTCGACCACGCGGTCCGTCTTGAGGAATTGGGATATCTGCTCCTTCATGTTCTCTCGGCCATTCGTGAGTTGGTTGTGGGCCTCCTGTCGCGCTTGTGTGGGTGATTTGACTCTAGATTGTCCGGTTTGAGGGCGTGGTGTGGAGCAGAATGCTCGGAGCTGTTCTATGGAGATATTGCGTGAAAGTCGTGAGGGTTGTGATGGTGCTGTTTTCGGTCGACTTTGGGTCAAGTCGATTTTCACGCTGGCGGATCGTTTGAGTAGGAAGGGCTTGGAGAGCTTGCGTTTGAGCTTTCCGGATGTTGATGGGAGGGGAGGTGGTGATTCGGTGCCGGCGCCTGCGCTGGCTTCTGCTATAAGAGCACTGCATGATCTAGCCCGACTCATGATCCTGCGCCGAATGCCATCGCTCGGGATGGGTAGATCCGTAGGAGTGTCGGTTTGAGCTCTAGCTGGAGCAGAAGGATTCTCAACCTGTTTAGAAGCCGTTGATGTCCTCTTTGGCTTCGATAATGGATCGCGAGGAAGTGGTTTTTCTGATTTGGGGCGTCCTTTATCGAACAGTCTTTGTTTGATTGATTTGTTTCGATTTGCGGTCTTGCTGGTCTGTTTAATAAATGATCGCTGTGATAGTTAGCGCTAGAATCTTAAGGCCCAATCAAGCCTAACTCACCACATCCTTTCTACTTGCTACTCCGACTCGTCGTTGCATTTCTGTAGTCGCCAAGCCAAGTTGGGTCAGGGCCTTTTGGAGAGCAGTGCCCCGTCGACGAAGTTTTGAGATAGCGACAATCCAGCCCTCCATGTTGTCCATCATGGCCTGATGAAAAAGCTTGAGGCTCTCGGACTTGAAGCAATCCTCGTCTGTAAGTTTCCGGAAGTAGAACCATAGTGCACTCATAGCCTCCTTCGCCTTTTGTAGGTCTTTGAGCGAGTCCGTGATGGAAAGGGTGAATCTCTCAATAGAATGTTCGATCTGATCGTTATAGGCGACAATCGATAGCCGGAAATTCCGGTCTTCCAGCATCTCATCGAAGACATCGAGATTTCCTAGCGGTACTCTGAGATACTGAATTCGAGTGCGAACGTCTAGTCGGACGATCATAAAGTCTTCAGTGGTCCTTTCCAGAAAGCCATCTAACTCATCCACATGTTTCTGTAGAATTCTCATGACTGAGTCTTCGGATTTCGCTAGACTCTTGGCCAGGAGATGAACTCCGAAGACCATTTGGGAAATCAATTTCCAGAATGGATGGTATCTGTATGGTTGGATTAGTTCGATTTGATCATGCTTGACAGGAGGATGAGTTTTCACTTTTCAGATGCCCTTTGGCGCCATTTTCGCCCACAAAGCCGCTCGTATTCGTCATTCTCTAGTAGATCGCGCCGCCGTGTTTGCGCGTCGATGTCCACAACCCATTTATTTACAGAACCATCGGTGGTTTCCACAATTGATTCCTCAAACGGGCCCTGGAGCTGGGCAATGGGATGGGATGGGTAAGGACTGGATGTTCTCTGAGTGATTGATTGCTCATTCTCAGCATCCTTGGGCGTCGCATGAGTCTCCATAGAGTCCATGGTGATCTAACACTCGTCCCAAGTATACAATCGAGGATGCACACTTTAGACAATTTTTCGAGCTTGATATAGTGCAATGCCCCTATCCATTTATAAAATCACAATCGCAACCAGCCCGGGTTTAGTCATGGTGAAGATGGCTGGTGTGATTATGCAAGGTACTACTTTATATCGGATCAGAAAGAGAATCAATAGAAGTGGATCTGACTTACTCTGGGAACATTGAAGTCTGGAGATGTTTCACCAGTGAAACACTGTAACCCAGCGAAATAAACGATCTGATGGCCCCTTTCGACAAAGATGTATCGGAGAAGAGAGGAAATTGCTGCGTAATTCTATTTGTCCTCATTATGGGGCTTGTTAGTATTAGTACGCGGTAGCCAGGGGGTCTTTATTCGGCATATTCCCACTCATTCCCACTTGATACATGAAACCAGCCAATTATCATCCACCAATGCATCGGGAAATGAATCAAATCAAACCACCAAACTTTAGAACTCTGAGACCAATTAATTTCGCATCAATGGTTCTTCCGGTTCTAGTTATCTACCAAGTGAGGCATCTATCTAGGTACGGAGTACGGAGTAGACATCCAGATTGTTAGGAGTGTGAAACGTGGCAAATCGGCAAATACGAGACTCGGCAGGATGTGGGTATTGGGGCAGTTCGTGTTTAGTCCTAGAGAAAGAGAATAATAGGAAATTATCGGCAACCCTAGCTCGAGTGAGATCGGCAACTCTAGAAGCAGTCCATTTTGAAACCGGTGGCTAGTTAAAGTATAATATGATTGTCTGATGCAGGCTTCTAACAGTTCTTTATATTTATGGCTTTTTACGGAGTATACATAATCATATATACGAATCATATTAGTATGCATAACCACAACTATATATATATATATACGGAGTGATTACATTTACTGTCATCATCAATAGGGTACGGATTGTTGTTTAATTTGCCTTGTTTGCCTTGTTTGCTTCATTTGTTTCATTTGTTTCATTTGCTTGTTTGATTGGTTTGCATTCAACTCCGGTTACATATTCCCCCACTTCTCCTCTCTCCTCATCTTCTGCATCTTGAATTGATCGCACTCTTGTATTTAAACTATCCCATCTGGCATATAAAACGTCAGATAAACTTCTGCTTCGTCAACTTTAAAACCCCAAGGCTATCGATTAGCCTGTTTCGGACTTATCCAAGAACGACTGGCTCTGGAGTAACACGCCTTGGCATCTGATAGATGAGTTCGCTAGTGATGGGGCCAAGCTATATAGATTGCTTATTGTGAACACAGCCTACTGTGACACTCTACTCAAGCCAGGTAAATTGGCTCTTTCACTCTCCGCAATACGTTCATAGCTAGGTGGATTCTACTAACCCTAGTAACCCGGTCCTCGAGGCCTATTCCTACCACCTGCAGTGCAGACAATACCACCTTTATATGACTCAATCTACTTTCTCAACATATTAATACACTATCAAACATAGCACGTCATAATAGTTTGCTTTACGGAAGACGACATCCTTGTCTCGGAGCCCAACAGCTCTTGGCATCAGCCCATGGAGATGCCTGGTCTTTTGCTATTCGATCACAGCCTACAGGGTATAATCTAGCGCCGTCGATCTTTTCCCTCCCCGCCTAACCTAGTCGAATAACTGAACCTCTCACCCTGAGTTGGTGGAGCTTTGACTCTTTTCCCCTCTTAACGGGGATGCTACCTTCTCCGGAGCTCCCACGGAGATCAAGTAAATACCCGGCTTAGCATTCAGCTTTCCCTGCCAATCGTCGATTGCGTGAGCTGCTTATCATGCACGATTCTTGTTTACTTCCCCTCTTCTGGGACTATAAGTTATCCCGAGCACGCCCCGGTAATCCTCACTCGTAACGGTAAACAAATAGCCCATTATGCGTGTCTCCCACTGGATTCCATTATTACCGGCTGTGGCGGCGCTTGCCGTGCCCTCAGATAGCTTGGAGGGCTTGGAGGCCCTCATCCGTCGCCAGCTGCCCAAGCATCCAACACACGTCAAGACTATCAAGACGGCTAATAATGTCACCATTCGCTATAAAGAGCCTGGCAAAGAGGGTGTTTGTGAAACTACCCCCGGTGTCAACTCCTATTCGGGTTATGTGGACCTCTCACCCACAGAGCACACTTTCTTCTGGTTTTTCGAGGCTCGCCATGACCCTGAAAATGCGCCAATCACCTTGTGGTTAAATGGTGGACCGGGCAGTGACTCTTTGATTGGATTGTTCGAGGAATTGGGTCCGTGTGGTGTCAACAAGAATAATGAATCTTATATCAACAAGAATTCGTGGAATGAGGTCTCGAATTTGCTATTCATCTCTCAGCCATTGGGTGTTGGTATGGATATCTTTCTATTCTATTCTCTTTCTAGGTCATCTGGCTAATATAATCACAGGTTTCTCCTACGCTGAGAAAGCGGCCGG